TATGCATTGTGTACACATAAATATAAAGGTACATATTTTACAGATTATGTATATTTTTTCTACATTTGTATTGTGTACACATATGTACATTAGAGTAAATGTACAGATTGTACCTATTATATACTTTTATTGCAATCTGCCAATAAATGTACATATTATGAGTACATTCTGGGATTTTTTTTTGGTATATTAGATAGAAATTACTCCTGTTATTAGAGTGTGTATGCACCCCTGTGTGCACATATTTTACACGTGTACATATTATGCATATTATGTACTCGTGTACAGATGGAACATATCTACGTATTATGTACATGTCTTTACACGTGTACATAGTGTACATATCTACGTACCGTGTACACTTATGTACACGTGTACATATTGTACATTTGTACATAAATTGTACATGATGTACATGTGTGCAAACTGTAATATCACAAAAAATGTATATGTACATAATGTGTACAATATGTACATTTATTTTGATATGTATTATATATGTTTTGTGATTATATATGCTGTTGTGATTATATATATATCGTTGTGATATTACAATAAATGTACATATTGTACACATTATGTACATATAAATGTACATATTGTACACATTATGTACATATAAATGTACATATTGTACACATTATGTACATTTATTGTACATCTGTATTGTGTACACTTATGTACATCACAGTCAATGTACATACAGTACATATTATATACATTTATTGTAATATCCCAGTAAGTATATCCATTATGAGTGTATTCTGGGTTATGATTTTTAGTATATTAGATAAAAATTTTTTCCAATATTAAAGTGGGTTTACACTCATGTGTGTTCATTTTGTGATATTATTGATCATATAATAAGTATATGATGTGAAAGAAAGTGTACACTCTGATTGTTCCAATATCACAGGCAATGTACATTGCTTCTGTGATATAGTTTCTAATATCCTGGGGACAGAGGATGATCCTACCCTGAATATTGGAGGAAGTGTACACCACCAATGTAGTGTTTCTAATACCCAAAAACAGAGAGGATATTTCTCCAAATATGTCAGGAAGCACACAAGCCTCCAGTAATATTGTTCCTAATAACTAGGGGATTACAGATGATATTACTCACAATGTGACTCGGGCTGTACAGCGGTCCTTTGATATTGTTCCTAATATCTAGGGAAGGAGAGGATAATATTACTGCCCTCGTGGAAATACTCTGAATATGGCAAGAGGTGTACACCATGCTCTAATATGGTCTCTAATGTCCACAAAAAAACAATTTTATTGAATTAAACACTGCAAGGGGTGAAACCCTTCTGTGCTTTCAATTCTAATGTCAAGGTTGGTGAGGATGACATTTTTGTCACTATCGCCGAGGTGTAACTAGAACTAGTGTTATTGTGCCTAATATAAATAAAAACCAGAATAAGATTAACATCTTCCTATCATATGGTTCCCAGTATCATATTACACTACATTTTCAAAATAGCTGTTCCCCAGCAGCCAGGGTGGGCCGGGGACCTCTGTCGGGGACTGTGGTTATTGCTTCTTAGCCAGGAATTTCTAGCAGACAGTGTGGGCCGGGGGGCTGCTACATGCACTGCATATGTACATGGTTTTCACCTATTTCTACATGTGTACATAATTTACATAATGTGCACCTATATATACTCGTGTACATATAGTATGTATGCACATAGTTTGTACATTGTGTACACGTGGACATATGGTGTTATCACAATAACTGTATATGTACATAATATGTACACATACATATGTACATAATGTGTACATATGTACATTTCTTCTGATATTATGTATTAGGCATATATTTTTGTGGTTATATGTTATTGTGATTATATATATGATATCCCTGATATTTCAATAAATGGACATATTGTACGTGTTATGTACCTATGTATTGTGTACACATTATATAAATATAAATTTACATATTTTACAGATTATCTACATTTCATCTACATATGCATTATGTGCACATATGTACATCATAGTAAATGTACATATTGTAGATATTATGTACATTTATTGCAATATACCAGTAAATGTACACATTTTGAGTACATTCTGGGATATTATTTTTAGTATATTAGATAAAAATTACTCCTATTATCAAAATGTTTATACACCCATGTGTGTACATATTGTACCCGTGTACATATTATGCATATGATGTACTTGTTTACAGATGGCACATATCTACATAATGTGTACATATAGGTACACGTGTACTTGATGTACATATCTACATACTGTGCACCACGTGTACGTAATGTACACACTGTGCACACATATTTACACGTGTACATATAGTACATGTATATATGATGTGTGCACATTATGTCCACTTTGTCATATTGTAACATCGCAATAAATGTATATGTACATAATGTGTACAATATGTACATTTAACATGATATGTATTATATATACTGTGATTATGTTATTTTTATCATATATGATATTGTGATATTACAACAAATGTACATATTGTACACATGTACATGTGTATATGTATACATTATTGACATTTTATGTCCATATTGCATACATTATTAACATTTATTGTACATATGTATTTTGTACACATAAGTACATCATAGTAAATGTACATATGGTAGATGTTATATACATTTTTTGTATCCCAATAAATTTACATTTCACGGCTATATTCTGGAATATTATTTTTAGTATATTACATGAAAATTACTCCTAATAGCAAAGTGGGTATACACCCATGTCTGTACATTTTGTTATATTATTTATCATGTCCTAAGTAGATATTACTCTCATTGTGAAGGCAAGTGTACACTCTGTCATTGTTCCAATATCACAGGCGGTGATATTGAAACGCTTCTGTAATATAGTTTCTCATATCCTGGGGAGAGGAGATGATTATACATTGAATATTGCAGGAAGTGTACACCACCACTGTAATATCATTTCTAATATCCAAAAACAAAGATGATATTACTCCAAATATCTCAGAAAGTGCACAAACCCCCAGTGATATTGTTTCTTATATCTAGGGAATGAGAGATATTACTTACAATGTGGCTGAGGCAGTACACCTGTACTGTGATATTGTTCTTAATATCCAGGGAAGGAGAGGATGATGTTACTGCCATATGGTAATACTCTCAATATGGCAAGAGGTATACACCACTCTCTTATATGCTAACTAATGTCCACAGAAAAAATAATTATATCGAATTAAATATTGCAAGGAGTGAAACCCCCCTGTGATTTCAAGTCTAATGTGTTTAGGGGAGAGGATTATATTTTTGTCAATATTGCAGAGGTGTAACTAGAACTAGTGTTATTGTGCCCAATATAAAAGAAAACCAAATTAACATTATCTTCTCCCTACGATATGGTTCCCAGTATCATATTACTTCAATTTTTCTAAATAGCTGCTTTGTAGCAGCCAAGGGAGGGGCCCGGGTGCTGCTACTCGCCCCGTGGTGGGGGCTGTGGACACAGTTCCCTAGCCAGAGGGTTTGTAGTATACAATGGGGGCTGCGGTGATATTACTCGCCCTCTGGCGGGGGCTGTGTGGACAGCCCCCTAGCCAGCGGGTTTATAATACCCAGGGGGGCTGGAAGAATATTTCTCTCCCTCTGACGGGGTTGTGGGCACGGCCCCTTAGCCAGAGGGTTCATAATATCCACGGGAGGCTGGAGGGATATAACTCACCCTCTGGTGGCGGTTTGCTCTGGGTGTATACTTTAAATAGATAAGTCGCCTAATATCGACGTTGCGTGGGTGGGGTTGTATGTTTTAAAGAGATATTACTCCTAATATCTTAGTTGTTGTAGAGTATGTTTCAACACGTTTTTATCTTGTTTGTGATATTCAGCATGTCATTACTCATAATATCAAAGTGTGTGTAAAGTATTTGTGTACACCCTGTGATATTATTCATATTAGGGAGAGATACTACGAGTCACAGGTATGGCCACTCCTCTGTGATATGGTTCGTAATATTCAGGGGGAACCCGGGTGATATTACTCGCCCTATGGCGGGTGGTTAATGTGGGTGTACATTTTAAAGAGATACTACTCCGAATATCACTGTCGGGTTGATATGGGTGTATATTTTAAAGAGATATTACTCCTAATGTCGTAGCCAATGTAGAGTATGTTTGAACACTTTGTGATATTATTTGTAATATCTTAGGGAGAAAAATTACTTGTAATATCAAAGAGAAAGAAATAAGGTTAGTCCTGAGACCCCTTCACCTGTGTACTCACTTCACTTTCCCACCTCGAATCTTTAGGGTGCACCCAGGCTCTTCAGGGAACTTCAGGTTAGTAGAGAGGCCGGGCCCGAGAATTTCTCAGTCAATCAAAGCAGGTGAGTACATGAATCATTGTAATTTTGTATTGAAAGTCTATAATAGGTACACACAGTGTGTCCATGAAGTGCCAGAGAGGAAAAGACAAACCCTGCCTGGAGAAGTGGGGGATGCTGAGCAGGGAGTTGACATTTAAATAAGTTTTGTTGAATGCTCAGGGTAGAAAAGAAAACAAGAATTCTAGGGTAAAGAAATCACATTAAACACACAAGGACACATGGGAGAACATGATTTTTGAGAAATCTGAGTGGGTGGGTATGACTAAAACCTAAAGGGTTCTGAATGCAGGTTAGGAGGAAACAGAAGACAAAGAGCGAAAATGAATTCTGATGGCAAATGTCTCTGTAGGGAAGTCTATGGGGTTAGGTCTTCTCTTGCAGACAATGTGGAGACCTTGGACATTTTTCATAATCAGAGCTGTTTTGGAAAGACCTTTTTTAGAATACTCTGACAAGCATTGTCTGTATCAAGGCCTTCTGTGCACATGTATTTCTTCCTAATTTGTAAACTCTTTCAAGTCAAGGCTGCACCTGTCTTAGTTTTCCTTTCCTGTAACTTTTCAATATCCTTTTTATAGTTACATTAGGTTGGACTGAATTGAAACCACAAAATACTACAAAATGATGGAACATAATAGGTATATTTATATTAAAGACATATTTAAGACAAAATATTACTTTATGTATTCTATTATGGTAATTAAACAAGGATGTATTCATTCTAATACCTCATAGGTACATGCTTTTTAGAACTTCATACTTAGGCATTGAAAAACAACCTGAATTTGAAGGTTTGTTCTTATGTGATAATTTTATGTGTCGACTTCACTGGGCCATGAGAGGCTCAGATGGCTGTTAAAGCATAATACTGGGTGTGTCTATGAGGATGTTTCTGGAGAAGATAAACGTTTGAATCAGTGGACTGAGTGAGGATCATGGGCTGGCCTCGTCCAATGTTCTTCAGGCCAGAAGAGAGCAACAGGTGGAGGAAGATTGAATTCCCTCTCTGCCCAAAAATGGGGCTGGAACACCAGTTTTCTCTTGCCCTTGACTTCTGACTCTCAGGCCTTTGAACGAAGCCATGGGCTTTCCTGGATCTTCACCTTGCAGATGCAAGGCTGTGGAGCTTTACAGTTTTCACAGTTACTTGAGCCAGTACCTCACAGTAAATCTCACTGGAGCTCTTTCTCCAGTCTTCAGACAGAAGGCTGTCTGTTAGGCACAAGAGCAAGCTGTCTGAGCCTTGCTCTTTGAGCTGAAAAAAGCCTTATGAGAGACAGTCTATGTTACAGAGTTCACATCCCATGTTCAAGAACAGGCCATGTGTCTTCTTCCCTGTTACGTTAACTCTCAATTTCAGGAATCTGTACATTACTCTCAGGGCTTCATGGTCTTTCAGGGGACTGCAAAGCTGTAAAATAAGCACAGAATTACTTTAGCATATTATAGAAAAAATACAGAGGAAGATGCTTTATAAGAGCAGAGTATAAGACTCATACAGTTTGGCAATTTTCAAAGAAACCTGCAGAATTAAACTTGTAGTGTAATCCTCCAAAAGGGGCTCCACAAAACCTTGGAAACATAAATGAAGTGGAATTGCACATGTGACATTTTTAGTAAATTAAAAAAAAATAAAGAAAGAAAAAGGGTAAAAAGGTCCATGAAATAAAATACCTTAAAAAGCCAAGAAACTAACTGCAAGTCCCACAAAGACATTGGGCAATGATTCTGTATGATTTCAGGAACGCTGATAAATAATGTCTTAATGTAGTGAAATATCATAAGAAGTACATGTAATCTCTTACCTTTAGTGTTTATTTTACTAGACATTCCAGGAGGACAGTAGCAACTAGTTGAGGTCTAGAAAGAAAACCAAGAAATGTTACAGTAACCAGTACAATGGCGGTCTCACAGCTAGTAAAATGGTCAAGATATGACTAGGGATTTTTCCTAAAGGCAGTCACAGAGTCATCCTGTAATGTAACAATAATTCCTATCATTGTGGACAAAAACTCAGACTTTTCCTTCCCATGACTGACAAGTAATTATATAAAAAGTAAATTAATTTTTTCATAAAGAAAAACAAAGTTAACACTAGTGTGCTTTCTTCAGTCACTAAAATTCTGCAGAAACCCAGATATAATAAGAAACTCAATTATCCGACCAGGTGTGGTGGCTCACACTTATAATCCCAGCACTTTGGGAGCCAAGGTGGGTGCATCACATGATGTCAGGAGTTTGAGACCAGCCTGACCAACTTGATGAAACCAGGTCTCTACTAAAAATACATAAATTAGCTGGATATGATGGTGCATGCCTGTGATCCCAGCTACTTGGGAGGTGAGGCAGGAGAATCACTTGAACCTGAAAAACCAAGGTTGCAGTGAGCTGAGATTGCACCACTACACTTCAGACTGGGAAATAGAGCAAAACTTCATCTCTCTCTTTCTTTCTCTCTCTCTCTGTCTCTCTCTGTCTCTCTCTCTCTCTCTCTCTCTCTCTCTCTATATATATATATATATATATATATATATATATATATATATATCACACACACACACACACACATCTCACCTCTTGACCTATGATCAAAGTTACTTCTAAACTCAATTGAAGGGACTATATATCACAAGCCAGATGGCAAGAAATTAAATAAATTTCAGTCTTTTTATGCTATTCCAATTACATCTTGGTCAGGTTACAAACATGTTTCAGAAAATATTGGAGGAGTTTTTCTTCCTCTTTAGGAGTCCTCTCTCGCTTTATGCTGCCTAACAAAAGACCTCACACCTTTAGAAAGAAGATAGAGATAGGCCAGGTTCAGGACATGCTGCACAAGTAGAACCAACTGTCCCAAAAAGAGAGGGTTCTACACCACTCTGAGAACTTCACAATTGACCAGCTACACACAAATGCCTGACGTATGGAAGTCCATCTAGAAAATGAACAATTAGTGATATCAAAACTTCTACCCAAAGGGCCTGCAGCTGGTATGACCATTCATCAAAAAATCTGACTTTAAATGGAGACACATTGGACTTTGACATGCAATAAAAGAACTGAAGCAGCAAAGTGTCTTGATTTGGGTTTTCTTTCCATCTTACCCAGCTCCAGGCAGTGAAGAAGTGAGCATGCCGGTTGTGCTCCTGACACATCTGGGGTAGTTCCCATTGACAGTGGTCAACCTTTGGGATTTTCCCACACATTTTAGGGTCATGATTCCTCTATGCTAACCTATAATGTGCAGATAAAAGCTCCTGTTTAGAGACTGGTGAGAAAATTGTCAAATCTGAAAGCCCACGAACTGTCTCAGCCGGGGGGAACACATGTAGGAAAGACTATAGAATCTGATGTCAGAAGCCTAATTTCAGGTAGACCTCTACAGCTTTACAATTGTGAGTAATTAACTTACTTTCTCTAGGCTCTGTTATTCTCATACAAATCACGAGAAAGGTAGACCGAATAGTCTCCCAGATCAATTCCAATCTTAACATCCTCTGGCTTTATGATTAAAGAATGACACTAATATGACTGAAATTGTGGCTTAGCCTCAATAGGAGCCTGCTGGGATTATGCTAAGCAAAACTAGTCCACACAGACAGAGCCATTCTGACCACATCCCTCCCTACGCCAGCTATTATACAGATACGCACCACTGGTAGGAGAAGTCCCTTCTACAGAAGACATTGACTGATTCAATAATAGGCTGATTTATTGATTCAACCAACAAGTATTTACTAAGCACCTTCTAGGTATTTAGGGATACAACAAAACAAAACAGACAAAATCCCTTCCCTTATGGAGTTTACATTTTAGTGAAGGACAAGGGGGGGTCAGACATCAAATAGAAAATATAAATTAAGAATATATTTTATGCAGAGCAGTGTTGGGATTCACTCATGGTGGCTGTCAAAATATTAAGGGAAAATATTAGGGAAGTTATAGATTATAGTATCAAACCTTTTTGGAAAGCCAAAATGTTTTAATGAGCCGGGTTGAAGACAGCCAGTTCTTACCTTAGAGCTTTAAGTCACAAGGTGGAAATTAAGATAATAAAAGCTTCCCCAGTTAAATCTGTTTACCCCACATTCCTTTGTCTCTACTCTGTTTACTCATATAAACTTTGTGCTAGATGACCCTCCCGGGGGAGGTTGAAAAAGAATTACTAGTTAATGGTGTTTATTCTGGGCCTCAGAACCAAAGGTTTTTATGACTAGTAAATCCACTCTATTAAACATGTTAATTATTCACAACCGTGTTGACTTAAAACCTGTTATTAAATTTATACTGAATAAATGCAAGAAGAAACAAGGAGTTGTAGTCAATTAGCTTCAATCACCCTTTAAAAGCAGCTGAGGGCCCCTTAACCCAACTCTTGCACTGTATTCCGTAAGTAAGAGAGTATTTCATTCATCCGTTGCTCAGACAAGGTCTGCAGGACAGAGCTCCACAGGTAGTGAGCAAAGTCTCAGTGAAGCCTGGAAGCCCTTGATAAAGTGACTTTTGAACTGTAATCCAAAGCAGTGAGAGAGTGAGCCATGCAGAGAGTAGGGGAAGAATGTTCAAGGCAGAGGAAACAGCAAGGCCCAGAGACAGGACAGGATCAAGCCTGTCTAGCATGCTAAAGGAAACAACATGAGCTCAGTGTTTATAAAGAGGAGTAAGAGCAGGAGAGTAGCAGGAAGAACAGTGAGACAGGTAGCAGGGGCCAGGTCATGTACAAAACAAAGCCACTCGAGAGTCTGAACAGAGACATAATTATGATCTTGATTCCACTGTGAAAGGATTGTACTAGCTGTTGTATTGAGGGTAGAGTGGCCAGGCACGGTGGCTCACTCCTGTAATCCCAACACTTTGGGAGGCCAAGGCAGGTGGATCACTTGAGAACAAGAATTCAAGACCAGCCTGGCCAACATGATGAAACCCTGTCTCTACTAAAAATACAAAAAATTAGCCAGGCATGGTGGCTCATGCCTGTAATCCCAGCTACTAGGAAGGTTGAGGCAGGAGAGTTGCTGGAACTCAGGCGGCAGAAGTTACAGTGAGCCTGGATCATAGCATTGCACTCCAGACTTGGTGACAAAGCAAGACTCCATCTGAAAAAAAAGAAAGAGAAAGAGAGTAGACTGAAGGAGGCAAACATGGAAACAAAAAAGCCAGTTAGAAGACTACTGAGATAATCCAGGTAAGAGATAATGGCAGAGTGGCAGCAGTAAGGTGTGAAGAGAGACCACTTCTGAAGTTGAATCAACAGAACATTTGAAGACAGGATCATCTTGGAAAATCTTGGAACTACTGCAGAATCAAATGAAGCTGAATGGCACCAAATTCTAACATCCACTGTGAAATCCTGGGAAGAGGGCTTGTTCATCTCTGTTACCTAGTGTCCCATCCAGTGCTTGGTACATAATGGGGATATAAAAAGTCTTCAATTCTTAAATGAATAAATGTGGAACTGAATATATGACAAAGCCAAAAGACCTGCAGTTTGATAGGTCATTAGGAGATCAAAAAGCATCTGGTACTAGACATATTTTACTAACAGTGGGTTCACCTTCTCTGAGTGAATCACCTTCTAAGCAGTAAGCTGAGATCATGCTAGTGCATGGGCAACAAGAGAGAAATTCCAGTTCAAAAGAAAGAGAGAGAGACAGACAGAGAGAGAGAGAGAAAGAAAGAGAGAAAAAAGAAAAAAGGAAGGAAGAAAGGAAGGAAGGAAGGGAAAAATAGAAATGTTTCATGACTTTAAGGCAATATAGAAACTACTAAACTTTTTATAGAAATCTGAACCACATAAAGCCAAAAACACATACTAGCTAATATTATTTAATACATGTAGTACTAAATAGAAGAGGTAATAATTAAAAAAAAAAACATCAGTGTAACATTATTGGACTTAAAAAACATATATTTTTTAAATAACAGAAGCAGAAGATTTTTCTGAACTATACATTTCAGATAGCATTTATTTACTAAAGATTAAAATAATACAACAGCTACCAAAAGTAAAGAGCTGGCCAGACACGGTGGCTCACACCTGTAACCTCAGAAATTTGGGAGGCTGAGGCAGGTGGATTACTTTAGGTCTGAAGCTGGAGACCCCATCTCTACTGAAAATACAAAAATTAGCCAGGTGTGGTGGCACTCACCTCCAGTCCCTAGGGAGGATGGCCTGAATCTGAGAGGCAGAGGTTGCAGTGAGCTAAGATTGTGCCACTGCACTCCAGCCTAGGTAACAAAGAAAAATAAAATTCAAGAGCATGGAGAGTATTAAACTCAAGCATAACCAATGGTCTCCCATCAGAACAGCTCCATTTTTTGGCAATCATTATATGTTAAAGTCTATTTGCTACACATTGGTATTTGTACTGAAGTTTCAAGTGCACATTAGCGCTTACTCAGGTTTAATGTCCTCTGCTGTACACTAAACTTGAATATCACACTTACATATCAAAACAAAAGTATCTTTCCTTAAAACAGTCACCTTTAAGGCTGCTTTAGAATTACAAAATGTGAATACTATTTTTATAGTTTCACAGTAACTGAACATTGTTGTCTATAAACAAAATAATCTAATAAATCACCATCAAAACAAAAGCCCCACAACATAATTTGTTTCACCTTATAAAAACACTGACGTTTATATGACTGTCTTAGCCAATTTATAAAACAGTAATAGCTAGTTATTTTTACTCACAATAATACTGATTTAATAACATAATAAAAACATATGCCGACTGTGGTGGCTCATATCTGTAATCCCAGCACTTTGGCAGACTGAGGCAGGTAAATCACTTGAGGTCAGGAGTTCAAGACAAGCCTGACCAACATAGTGAAACCCTGTCTCTACTAAACACACAAAAATTAGCTGTGTGTGGTAGTGCATGCCTATAATCCCAGCTTCTTGAGAGGCTGAGGTGGCAGAACTGATTGAACCTAGGAGACAGAAGTTGCAGTGAGCCGAGTTCATTTCCCTGCACTCCACCTTGGGTGACAGAGCAAAATTCTGTCTGAAAAAACAAACAAAGACAAGAGGAGGAAGCATTTATTATGTATTTATATGCCAGGCATTATGTGAAGCACTTTACTACCTTATCAGATCTTTAAGGTGGGTCTTTAGTTCTCATGATCACAGAAGAGGATGATACTAAGGCTCAGATAGGTAAGAGATGTGGCCCCGCTGTGTCCCCAAAGCCTATGCTTTCAGATAAGATTAAGAAAATAATTTGTTTAAAAAAACATTCAATTGAATTCCTAAGATCCAGGCCTTTGCAATAAATATGTAAAGAAATCTTCACTGTTTATGCTTCCTGGTAGCACATATTATGAGGGTTTTTTTTTTCCTTTAAAATGAACCAACGAAGTCCAGGTTCATGCCTGTAATCCCAGCACTTTTGGGGGCCAAGGCAAGAAATCAAGGTCAAGAAATCAAGACCATCCTGGCTGACATGGTGAAACCCTGTCTCTGCTAACATTCCAAAAATTACCTGGGTGTGGTGGCACACACCTGTGGTCCCAGCTACTCAGGAAGCTGAGGCAGGAGAGTCACTTGATCCTGGGAGGTGAAGGTTGCAGTGAGCCGACACTGAGCCACTGCACTGCAGCCTGGTGACAGAGCTGAACTCTGTCTCAAAACAAACAAACAAGAACCTACAAAAACCAGAAAAAAAGGCTTAAACTATTATAAAGTGTAAGAAACACTAAAAGAACCTTAAGCACATAACTAAAAATATTGTGGAAAAGTTATTGAACTCATTAGCAAATTTACTCTAATTCTAGGTTTTCATTTTTATTGAGAGGTACGTTATATTATTCATATTGAAGAAAAAATGTTCAATTATATTAACATAAAAACTTCAATATAGTTTATCATGTTTAAATGTTCACTTAAAGCAATTTAGTTAAAGTTCGGCCTACTATACAATTTTATAGCTTGCCAGTAATGTTGCAAAGTAAAAAGTCATCCAAATAGAAACAGCAAAATCATATGTTTCTACTGGTTGTTGCTATTTTTAGGTGAACATTTGATATATGCCAACAGATAGAGGACAATAACAAATTGCTAACTTCTTTCATTATGACATAAAGGTAGCTTCAGGAAGGAATATTGTAAGGGCAAAGAAGAATTTGAACTCTAACATCAACTCAGCGATGCATCAAGTTAAAAGTAGAGACAACAGGGGCATCTTGGTAAATACCATTTTTTTTTTGAGAAAGAGTTTTGCTCTTGTTGCCCAGGTTGGAGTGCAATGGCAGGATCTCAGCTCACTACAACCGTCACCTCCTGGGTTGAAGTGATTCTCCTGCCTCAGCCGCTGGAGTAGCTAAGATTACAGGCATGCACCACCACACCCGGCTAATTTTGTAGTTTTAGTAGAGGCAAGGTTTCTCCATGTTGGTCAGGCTGGTCTCAAACTCCCGAACTCAGGTGATCTGCCTACCTCAGCCCCCCAAAATGCTGGAATTACAGGCATGAGCCACCACACCCCACCAAATACCACATGTAACAAAACAGATGAAAGAAATACATTTCCTTAGCATTGCAGTAATGTAGAAACAAGTAATTTTTCTAATATTTAGACAGACACTACAAAGCACCTTACAAGGAAAAATGTATAAAAGTGGCACAATTGACTAGCGGCCCTGGGCTTGTCCACAGTACTCCCATGGTGAACAGTAACTGCATGGTGTAAATGCTCATGAACAAAGTATTACTGGACTTTTCCAATTCAGACACACTACATTTTCTTTCAAACAGCTCTTCAACTTTTCCTAGATCAGTGAAAGAATTATTTTATTCTCTGAAAACTGAGCAAAAGTTGATTCTCAATAATATATCCCTATGTCAGAGCAGCACTAAAATATAATGACTTATTTCCTGTATTTTACATTCTAACCATCCATATCATTTTACTGCTTTCAAAAAAAGTTTCTGTTTCGGTGGTTCTTAGAATAAGTTTAATGGGAGAATACAAGAGAAGTTTTAGGGCAGGTGCAGTGGTGCACACCTGTAATCCCAGCACTTTGGGAGACTGAGGCAAGTGGATCACTTGAGATTAGTCTGGCCAACATAATAAAACCTTATCTCTACCAAAAATATAAAACAGCCAGGTGTAGTGGTGTGCTTCGGTAATCCCAGCTACTTGGGATGCCGAGGCAAGAGAATCACTTTAACCCAGGAGGCGAAAGTTGCAGTGAGCCTACGTCATGCCACTGCCCTCCAGCCTGGGTGACAAAGTGAGACTCCATCTCAAAAAATAAATAAATAAATGAAAAGAGAAGTTTTAAAGTTTAGTACCTCATGTTAGTCTTTTAATTTCTGGAAAGCAGAAAAGATCAATCAAATTAAACACAACAACAGGAAAACCACAATGAGGAGGTCTCCAGGGGCCCGTTAGCAAACTTCCAAAAACATGTCTCAGCTGTGTGGAAATAAGACTTTACAGCAGCCAGGTGCAGTGGTGCAGGACTGTAATCCCAGTACTTTGGGAGCAGAGGCAGCCAGATCGCTTTGGGCTCAGGGAAACAGACTGGAAACCCCCATCCCCCCACCACCACGCTCCACCCCCTTCTCTACTAAGAATACAAAACTTAGTCAGGTGTGGTGGCAGGCACCTGTAGTCTCAGCTACTCAGGAGGCTGAGGCAGGAGAATTGCCTGAGCCCAGGTGGCAGTGAGCTGAGACCTTGCCGCTGCCAGCATGGGCAACAGAACAACGCTCCATATCAAAAAAGTAAAAAAAAAAAAAAAAAAAGAGAGAGAGAGAAAGAAAGAAAAAAAAAGAAAAGAAACAAGGTTAAGATGGACCCCAGACTTTAAAGATACACGATTAGGAGGAACCTAGCCCCAAAAAAAATCCCAACCCTTTTTCTCTCAATCATTAAAACACCAAAAGGGTATAATAGTTTTGCAGCCTTGCTGTAGTAGGCTGATAGTAACCCCTTAAGGTACCCATATCCTAATCACAAGAACCAGTGAACATGACCTGGTATGACAAAAGGGGCTTAACAAAGTTAACAATCTTTGGCTGGGAAGATTATCCCAGCCTGTCCCAGCTGGGTTGGTGTACTCACTCGGATTCTTATAAGGGCAGAGCAGGTGATGGAGAGTGGTGGGAGGTGTAGTAATGGAAGCAGGAAACTGAAGTCATTCAAGAAGGGCAGCACAAACTTAGGATTGCAGGCCATCTCCAGGGCCAGGAAAGGGATTCTCCTGCAGAGCCTCAGAAGGCATTGGCCCCGCTACCCCCTTGACTCAGTAAGACTGACTTTAGAATTCTGGCCTTCAGAACTGTAAGGGCAGACATCTGTTTTGTCTCAAGCCACTTAGTGTGCAGTAATTTGTTGCAGCAGCAACAGAAAATTAGTGTTGTAGTGAAGCCTCAAAACCCACCTGAAGGGGCCGGGTATGGTGGCTCATGCCTGTAATCCCAGCACTTTGGGAGGCCAAAATGGGCAGATCACTTGAGGTCAGGAGCTTGAAAACCCATCTCTATAAAAAATACAAAAATTAGCCGGTGCAGTAGCACATGCATGTAATCTTAAAAAAAAAAAACAAAAAACGAACAACAACAAAAAATCACCTAAAGAAGGTTTCCAGTTCTGTCCACCACCCAACCCCCAGAAAAACAAATTTCTTGGATTCAGGCCATGAACAGGGAGAAAAAAGTGCCTCCTCATGACAGAACCCTACCCAGGAGAAACCCTAGGGAAGGCATTGTCAGGCCAGCCACTCTGCCAAGGCCATTTTCTTTTTCTTTTTCTTTTTCTGAGACACAGGTTCACTCTGTCTCCCAGACTGGAATGCAGTGGCATGATCTCAGCTCACTTCAACCTCTGTCTCCCCAGTTAAAACGATTCTCCTACCTCAGCCTCCCAAGTAGCTGGGATTACAGAAGCATAGCATGCCTAATTTTTGTATTTTTAGTATAGACAGGATTCTGTTATGTTGCCCAGGCTGGACTCAAACTCCTGGCCTCAGGTGATCCACCCAACTCAGCCTCCCAAAATGCTGGGATTACAGGCTTGAGCCACGGCACCCAGCACTCACCAAGTCCTTTGATGGCAGTCTTTTTCAGGTGATTAGTCCTTGTCTAGTTTGGCTCTGCCACAGTCTCCCTCTCACCAAGTTGGAATCCCTAGCTACTCTTCAGAAGAGGAAAGTGTGTACCACAATCCCAGCTTGGTATGGTTCAGATCTGCATTTAACTCATGGAATCTGGCTGCTCCCCAAGCCCTGGGGAAAGAGGATTTCTCTGTGGGCATGATAGAGGATCGGCCTGTCTGGCACCCTTGCCTCTCACCACTGTTCTTTCTGCTTCAACCTTACCCCTACACAGAGCCTGGGCCACCCAACTTGACATCAATCAGATGGCTCAATAAGTCAGTTTGATCTTCTTGAAAAAGAAAAAGTCTTTACAGATATGCAGTTGCAAGTTAGAATGCTAAAGAACATAAACATGTAACAACTTAATATACATATAAATTCAACATACATCCAATTATAATGACTATGACACAGTTGAATATTAAAATACTATTTTCAAAATGTATACAAACTTAATGTTCTATTTATTCAAAATACAAATCATCAACATAATTTGCCACTAATATCTCCTTCAGTCCCTTCACAGGACACATGATCCACTGGGTATTAGCAGATTAGCAGCTGGCAGGCAGTGACACACTGCAAAAACGAAAACCGAGAGGTGAAATTGTTCTGAAATAAAGAAGGTTTTAACACTAAGATAAATCATGAAACCACTAAGTAATTAGCAGTAATTTTGACTCAACTAATTAATACAAGATGATACAATGTGTTATGCTTTGGTAAAAACAAACTATATTTAAGCAATGTCACGATGTGACTTTCAAAATGCTTCTGGCTCTACAAAGATGAGATTATAATATAGTAATACACGCTAAAGCATTTCCCCCTGCAGAGCATGTTGTAACTTTCATCAGTCACATTGGGAGTCCAGAATATGAAGAAAAAGGTCATGGATTTCACTAAGAACTTACCAAAACTGAACACCTTCACTTTCCATTGCTCAGCATTGATGAGCAATGCTGGTCTCTTAGAAGGTAGAGAATACTCAACGTCTTGTAAAAGAAAATGGTCATTACTGAAGGAACCATCTTAGAGTTACAGGCCCCTCTTGGTTAATTTCCAGCATTCAAAAAGTGAGCAGGGCTTTAGAGCTATTTTGAGTATTAATAATTATTTCTGTAATATGATCTTCAGCATACTTTTTTCTAGTTACATTTGAAATTTTATTCTTTTGGATTGTGCTCAGGTAAATGTTGCTTTTTCCTCTGTCTTGCTTCATTAATTTTTAGTTTGCTTCATTTGAATTATCATTATAAATCTCCCCTTCTCCTCAATGACTTTGAAGTTGCTGCCAAAACTATGTTCTATTTCAAGGCTTTTGAGAACAAATTTTCAATGAAGATAGCCACCTAAAGTTATACAAATATATAAGAAAGGAGATAAAAAAGCTTAGATTGGAAAAAATATTTAAGCTTATACAAGATTTAAGCATACATAAACAAAAAAAGCTTGATAATTGTATGTTCAAATACTTTCAACAAGGGCAAAATGTGTAGGCTTAAAGAAATAGGGCTGGCTGGGTCCTGTGGCTCACATCTGTA